CGCATTGGCAACAGCCTGGTAAGAGAATATGTATTACTTGGAATTAATGGGGTTGACGGCCATATGTACAACCAGTGTCATTGGCAATAGCCTGGTAAGAGATTATATGTATTACTTGGAATTAATGGTGTCGATGACCATATGTACAACCAGTGTCATTGGCAACAGCCTGGTAAGAGATTATATGTATTACTTGGAATTAATGGTGTTGATGACCATATGTACAACCAGTGTCATTGGCAACAGCCTGGTAAGAGATTATATGTATTACTTGGAATTAATGGTGTCGATGATCATATGTACAACCAGTGTCATTGGCAATAGCCTGGTAAGAGATTATATGTATTACTTGGAATTAATGGTGTCGATGACCATATGTACAACCAGTGTCATTGGCAACAGCCTGGTAAGAGATTATATGTATTACTTGGAATTAATGGTGTCGATGACCATATGTACAACCAGTGTCATTGGCAACAGCCTGGTAAGAGATTATATGTATTACTTGGAATTAATGGTGTCGACGACCATATGTACAACCAGTGTCATTGGCAACAGCCTGGTAAGAGAATATGTATTACTTGGAATTAATGGTGTCGATGACCATATGTACAACCAGTGTCATTGGGAACAGCCTGGTAAGAGATTATATGTATTACTTGGAATTAATGGTGTCGACGACCATATGTACAACCAGTGTCATTGGCAACAGCCTGGTAAGAGAATATGTATTACTTGGAATTAATGGTGTCGACGACCATATGTACAACCAGTGTCATTGGCAACAGCCTGGTAAGAGAATATGTATTACTTGGAATTAATGGTGTTGATGACCATATGTACAACCAGTGTCATTGGCAATAGCCTGGTAAGAGATTATATGTATTACTTGGAATTAATGGTGTTGATGACCATATGTACAACCAGTGTCATTGGCAACAGCCTGGTAAGAGAATATGTATTACTTAGAATTAATGGTGTTGACGACCATATGTACAACCAATGTCATTGGCAACAGCCTGGTAAGAGAATATGTATTACTTGGAATTAATGGTGTTGATGATCATATGTACAACCAGTGTCATTGGCAACAGTCTGGTAAGAGATTATGTATTACTTGGAATTAATGGTGTTTATGACCATATGTACAACCAGTGTCATTGGCAACAGCCTGGTAAGAGATTATGTATTACTTGGAATTAATGGTGTTGATGACCATATGTACAACCAGTGTCATTGGCAACAGCCTGTTAAGAGATTATATGTATTACTTGGAATTAATGGTGTGGATGACCACATGTACAACCAGTGTCATTGGCAACAGTCTGGTAAGAGATCATATGTATTACTTGGAATTAATGGTGTCGACGACCACATGTACAACCAGTGTCATTGGCAATAGCCTGGTAAGAGAATATGCATTACTTGGAATTAATGGGGTTGATGACCATATGTACAACCAGTGTCATTGGCAACAGCCTGGTAAGAGATTATATGTATTACTTGGAATTGTGTTGATGACCATATGTACAACCAGTGTCATTGGCAACAGCCTGGTAAGAGAATATGTATTACTTGGAATTAATGGTGTTGATGACCATATGTACAACCAGTGTCATTGGGAACAGCCTGGTAAGAGATTATATGTATTACTTGGAATTAATGGTGTCGACGACCATATGTACAACCAGTGTCATTGGCAACAGCCTGGTAAGAGAATATGTATTACTTGGAATTAATGGGGTTGATGACCATATGTACAACCAGTGTCATTGGCAACAGCCTGGTAAGAGATTATGTATTACTTGGAATTAATGGTGTTGATGACTATATGTACAACCAGTGTCATTGGCAACAGCCTGGTAAGAGAATATGTATTACTTGGAATTAATGGTTTTGATGACCATATGTACAACCAGTGTCATTGGCAACAGCCTGGTAAGAGATTATATGTATTACTTGGAATTAATGGGGTTGATGACCATATGTACAACCAGTGTCATTGGCAACAGCCTGGTAAGAGAATATGTATTACTTGGAATTAATGGGATTGATGACCATATGTACAACCAATGTCATTGGCAATAGCCTGGTAAGAGATTGTATGTATTACTTGGAATTAATGGGGTTGACGACCATATGTACAACCAGTGTCATTGGCAACAGCCTGGTAAGAGATTATATGTATTACTTGGAATTAATAGTGTCGATGACCATATGTACAACCAGTGTCATTGGCAATAGCCTGGTAAGAGATTATATGTATTACTTGGAATTAATGGTGTCGATGACCATATGTACAACCAGTGTCATTGGCAATAGCCTGGTAAGAGATTATATGTATTACTTGGAATTAATGGGGTTGACGGCCATATGTACAACCAGTGTCATTGGCAATAGCCTGGTAAGAGATTATATATAATACTTGGAATTAATGGTGCTGATGACCATATGTACAACCAGTGTCATTGGCAATAGCCTGGTAAGAGATTATATGTATTACTTGGAATTTATGGGGTTGACGGCCATATGTACAACCAGTGTCATTGGCAATAGCCTGGTAAGAGATTATATATAATACTTGGAATTAATGGTGTTGATGACCATATGTACAACCAGTGTCATTGGCAATAGCCTGGTAAGAGATTATATATAATACTTGGAATTAATGGTGTTGATGACCATATGTACAACCAGTGTCATTGGCAACAGCCTGGTAAGAGATTATATGTATAACTTGGAATTAATGGTGTTGATGACCATATGTACAACCAGTGTCATTGGCAATAGCCTGGTAAGAGATTATATGTATTACTTGGAATTAATGGGGTTGACGGCCATATGTACAACCAGTGTCATTGGCAACAGCCTGGTAAGAGATTATATGTATTACTTGGAATTTATGGGGTTGACGACCATATGTACAACCAGTATCATTGGCAATAGCCTGGTAAGAGATTATATGTATTACTTGGAATTAATGGGGTTGACGGCCATATGTACAACCAGTGTCATTGGCAATAGCCTGGTAAGAGATTATATATAATACTTGGAATTAATGGTGTTGATGACCATATGTACAACCAGTGTCATTGGCAATAGCCTGGTAAGAGATTATATGTATTACTTGGAATTAATGGGGTTGACGGCCATATGTACAACCAGTGTCATTGGCAACAGCCTGGTAAGAGATTATATGTATTACTTGGAATTAATGGGGTTGACGACCATATGTACAACCAGTATCATTGGCAATAGCCTGGTAAGAGATTATATGTATTACTTGGAATTAATGGGGTTGACGGCCATATGTACAACCAGTGTCATTGGCAATAGCCTGGTAAGAGATTATATATAATACTTGGAATTAATGGTGCTGATGACCATATGTACAACCAGTGTCATTGGCAACAGCCTGGTAAGAGATTATATGTATTACTTGGAATTAATGGTGTTGATGACCATATGTACAACCAGTGTCATTGGCAACAGCCTGGTAAGAGATTATATGTATTACTTGGAATTAATGGTGTTGATGACCATATGTACAACCAGTGTCATTGGCAATAGCCTGGTAAGAGATTATATGTATTACTTGGAATTAATGGTGTTGATGACCATATGTACAACCAGTGCCATTGGCAACAGCCTGGTAAGAGATTATATGTATTACTTGGAATTGTGTTGATGACCATATGTACAACCAGTGTCATTGGCAACAGCCTAGTAAGAGAGTACACAGTCTTTGTTGTTATTCAGTCTAAACAACCTTTCTTCATTGATTACCTTGAATCCCCTTTGCAAAATCAATTGTAATATTAAGGATGATTGTGGAGGATGTGTATATAAGCAATAAAGAAAAAAAAGTATCGTCAGTTATGTCAATTAAATTGATTAAAATATTGAACCCTAAATTATAATACCTTGATTTGCAGGTATGTTTGTTTTTCCAAGACTTAATCAATAAATTGTATGCAGTTACAATCAAGTAGAAACCTGCATACCTTGAAATAACAGCTATCTGCTACCCTTTTCAAGAATTTGGTTTGAGAATCTAGTTACAAACTAACAAAGCTCTCTTTCAAGATGTGAAGTCAAATGAATGCAAGGGGTATGGATGCTAATAAGAGCTAATTCTTTGAACTCCATAAAAAGTCAAACCACTTTTGGGGTCATCTACTTCGTATCAGCATCATTTTATCCTACATAGACAGAGGGTAATAATTATTATTATTATTTATTTGGCATCAGGGTTGTATGATTAAATCAATTTTTGGTTATTGCTATTTATATTGTTTATACATACTTAATATCATGTTTATTTTATGTTACATGTATATCTTTCTATGAAGTTCTAGATCTACTTTTCTTGGAATTATCTTGAATATACATTTGCACAAATGACAATTAAAAAGTAATAAGAAAGAGTAGGGAGAAAACATTCCAAAGCAACCTATTAAGTCTGTTGATTCATAATTAAATAATAAATATCTTTAATGGACCAGGATTATTTAGGAAGAGAATAATGCAGCTTTAAGTAAAATTTGTGTGATTAAATTAATTTTGATTTTTGCTAGTGTTACTTATTTCCTTTGAGTTGATTTCTCTAGATCTACATTTCCTGTACTTAACATTAATGGATAATAGATGATTGCATGAATGAAATTTCAGAAGCAATATAGAACAATAGGAAGGAGAAAGGAGGGAGTATTTCAAAACAACCTATTAACAAACTTGAAGAGCCAATTGCTTTTACCCTAATCTTAAATAACCCTTAAATAACCCTTTTCTTGTTTTTATCATTGGAAATGTTATTCAGAATGCACCAGAGAGGGTCTAAATTTGAAAATTTTCTGGGGGCATAATACCCCCAGACTCCCCTCGGTTGCGCCGCATGCATCGCATGCTTCACGCACGACCCATCCGTACCCAAAAGTCGCCCCCACTCTTGGGAAATCTTTCTGACGCCTCTGTAATCTGCTCATTTGAAATTGTTTCAGGTTATAGCAGCTGTAATGAAGAAGCGCTCAATGCGTAATCCAACCAACTATCTTATTGTCAACTTGTCGATGTCAGACCTTCTCTTTGTCATGATGACCCCATTTATCATGACGACTAGGATTACAGTCAATTGGAAACTAGGAGGCTTTCTCTGTAGAATAGTGTCTTATATACAATTTTTCTCTGCAGCCAACTCAATCTTAACCATGATGTTAATAAGTATCGACCGCTATCGATCAATATGTATTATAAATGTGACAAAATTGACAACAAAAGTCGGAGCAGTTATTATATGCTGTGTATGGATGGTATCATTGACGATGACCCTCCCGATAGCATTATTCAGCATCGAAACACATATCACACAATGGGGAAAAGAGCATGTATTCTGTGGTCTTGTTTGGCCAAAGGAGGCAAATCCTGACATATATTTCTCTGTCCTTGCCTTATTCCTCTTTATTATGCCAGTCACAACATTGATAGTAAACTACTGCAGAATTTTCAACACTGTCAGAAAATCAAGCAAAGTTAAGGTCATCAAGGTCACAAGTAAAGATAACCATAAAGAACAAGATCAGATCTCATCTAAACAAATAAAACTATTGAAAATGTTTGTATTGATTGTGGCATTGTTTATAGCGATGATATTACCATTCTTTGCAGCCTCGTTTGTAGTGCTTTTTACGGACACAATGACCTCAACTATATTTACTTGGTCTGTGACCTTGACATTGGCAAATACAGCCATCAATCCAATCATATATGGATATTTCAATACCAAGTTCAAACAAGCATACAAAGAGTTGCTCTGTAAAAGGTGCACAAGAAAAGTGGGCCATGAAAGAAGTATCAGCAATTCACAAGGAACACATACAGATGGAGAATAGATGTAAGGTTAAACTTGTAACAAAACATCTGACCTTGAAAATCTTTATCAGCACAAGAATCATCCAATGCAGCTTTTGCCAAGGGGGTTCACTTTTAAAAAAATCCAGGGGGTTCACATTTAACAACTTTGGCCCAAAATCAATTTAAAAGTGTTCAGAATGGTGAAAAACCACATGATTTTGAAAGAAATTTGGGCCAGGGAGAGGTTCGCTCGAGCCGCCTGCACCCCCTGGTTTTGAAGCTGATCCAATTTATAGTACCAAAATGACAGGTCTCAGACTGTGATAGGTCCCCATAATCTATTGAGAACCTCATTATGTTAGCTCACAGATGAAACAATTTTTATGTTGTCCTATACAGATTTGCTTTGAGTGCTTTCTCATTTTGATATGCTAACAGAAAAAATAATAAACCAGTTTAGGTCTATAACGCAGAGATATATTTTAGGAAACAATTTTTGCTCATAAACAACACTAGCCTACATTGTTGTATAATCTATGGCATATTGTACAAACGGAATAAATATACATTGTAAAAATTTGATATAGTTCTTAGTGTTAAAATAATATGATGTCAATAAAAGCCATTATGTTACTACATACCAGCAAATATGTACAGGGTGGGCCAAAAAACAATACCCAACTTCAAATCAGGATAAAAATAGTTACGTTCAATATGGTACATTGGCTTATATATCATTTTAAAGGTTATGTATTTTCAAACAATTTGGTATACCTTAACTAATGATTTTATGACATAGTGTTATACACCAAATTGTTTGGAAATGTATTACCTATAAATGATATATAAGTCAATGTACCATATTGAACGTAACTATTTTTATCCTGATTTAAAGTTGGGTATTGGTTTTTTGGCCCGCCCTGAACATGTGTAATAATTAATACAAAAAATTAATAACTTTTCATCATACATGTACACAAACATACATCATGGGATCAAAAAAGAGTACAAAATATTGAAATCCTCAAAATGCACGCCAATTTTTTACAAGGCTAAATCTGAAAAAGAACATAATATGGAAGATTTTAGATGAAGAAATCTTCACATTTTAGAAAATAAACATAAAATAGAATGTTGATAGCAAAAAATATTTTAAATTGTGACAGGTACTCTAAACTGGTCTTTGGTGCCCCTTTAACATAACATTCATATAATATCTTAATAATATATTTCATGGAATATATTATATAAAAAGGGTATATTGATAAAATAAAATATTTAACTAAAATGTAGTATACATATAATTTACATGCTTGAATGAACTGGAAGAACCTGTATATACTTTTTCTACATCTGGATGACACCTGAGTCAGAACCCAACTGTAATATTACACATTATATTCATTAAGTCACAATCAAGATTAATAGCATAATGGTCTGGAAATTATGAGACCTTTTAAAAAAAATCATTAACAGACAATCTGTATTAATACATCATTTCATAATGGCACCCTAATGGCACAATGTTGTGAAAAATATTATTACACAATATTCAACAAAATCAAAAACATATCCTTGGCAATACATCATACACTGGTACAAAATACAATTGCATGTGTTGCAATATAATGCAAGGCATTAACATGCAAAATGTCACAACCTGCCATTTGTTAGATGCCTGTTACAGACACCTAACACCTACTGCAAAACACCAACCAATGTGGGAGACCATAACAATAACATAACACCATAACATAACAATATGTCACTACTTCTGGTAAAATACAAGCCTGATATAAGACATGAGAGATTTATTATTCTTATACATGTACAAAACTTTTGTATATAGTCATGGGCTTTCAAAAGAAAGTACATGAGTATAACAAATTAACATAACATTAAAAAATTAAAATTAAATTAAAAGAAAATTGTGTTTAATATTGTGACAGTGGTGGGTAGTTATTGTTCAAAGCACTAGGTCTTGAAGGACTTTTCATTGTACATGGGAACAAACTGATTTCATTGTTGGCTCAATGATCTAGCTGTCTATGTTATAATTGAACATCTTGCTTTGCACTTTAGTCCGTTCGGTGGAAGTTATATGTATCGGTTGTTTAAAGACAATCCCCTTCATTTTACACACTCCAATATTGTCGCAATAATAGAGCATATATTCAACAGTCAGTTCGGTGTATGAGTTGTCAATCCAAGATGGTGGGAATGTCAAGGTCACCATGGGATGATCTTCAAGGCCAAGGAAGAGGCCCTGAGTGTTGTCTGCACCTGCCAATAATTCCGACATCTTTTCATCTGAAATAAAAATATTCATATTTTGACTGAAAAAAAACAATTCTTTTATGATACGTGTTGTCACAATAGCTAGAACAATTGAATAGTTGTTTTCTGTTTTTTTTTTACAATTAGAATCACAACAAAGACCCTGATTTTATGATTTATTACAAATATATGACCTCAGATTTTATTCTGGCCATTGTCGAAGACCTCAATCGTGACAACAATTAACATATACAACATCGTACGTGCACATCCTTCTAGTCATGTGAGAGCATGAATATTAGAAAATGTAATATTGTTTAACCAGAATAAATTTGGTTTACCCCTATACTAACTGGCATTATACTTTCTGTAATTACATTTATTACTATAAAATAAAACTACTACCAATACAATGACCAATACTACTTTTACATCACATAAATTAACAGTACATGTATAAAACTTATGTTTTACACCTGACATGACAAAATATACTCTCTAAATAAGATACCTTCTGAGGATACAAGCCAAGCACTTGGTGCGCCATCTGTCAGACTGAGATCTCCACTTAACGAAATCTGAGGTAAAATCACAACTTTCCCACCAGGGGGAGCTGCTAAACAATCCATTTCTATGACACGAGCGCTTTTGGGTGTGATGCGTTTTGGTTTGGTGATTTGTGATAAAGCAATTGAGAGGTCAGTGACATCCACAGCTTTCTTTGTGTCAGGATATTGAATCTGAAGCTGAAAAAATAAATGATTGTACAAGCACAAGTTTTAGTTTAATGATCTGTGTAGCGCTAGTGGCAGCGCCAATTAAATGAAGCAGTTTTATATTATGACAATATAATGTTTAGTGACACCTAGAATTGATACCAACATTGCATGTGAATTCTGCCATTGTCTATTCTGGTATTGTATATACAGGAAACCTTACATGAAAACTCATCCTTGATTGAATTCTAATTTGTAGGTTTCAAGTATTTTGGATGCAACTGGGTAATATAGTTGTATTTGGTAGTGGGAGATGGTTTGAAATTGTCAAATATATATATTCTTCTGCATTTTCGCCTTCACTAAGAAACAAAGAACTTCAGTTCATGAAAATTAAGCATACCTTTGACATAGTATTTGTTTCAAAATCATACAGCTTTATTGTGTGATTATTTGTATCAGCAATGTAGAGTAGTTGATTAGTGTGATCCATAGAAAGGCCACCAGGTTCATTCAGTTGGCACTCTGCTGGATTGCTGCAAATACTGTCCCCTGATTGGCCAGAACCAATGATTGTAGAACAAGCTTTGGTATTAATGTCAATAGACTTGATCTGCAATTGAAATATAGTTTATCAGCAATATACGAGCAATTATTTTAATTGAGAATTAACAAACTAAAATGTCAACATCTGTTTGGAATTACAGTTGTATAATATAATAACCAGAACAACGGCAACGCCAAAGCGTAGCGAATCCCATTGAACAGCCATGGAAGGCATTTTTACAAACAAAGTATATAGCAAAAATGGCAGGCATTTTTCAAAATGCCCGCCTTCTACCAAAAGTGTCATTTGACCATTTGCCATACTTATAGTATTCACACACCAAATACGAACAAAATCGCTCCACTACTTTTCGAGTTATAGTAAAATATGTTAAAATGGCGGCCATTTTGAAAAATGGCCGCCTTCTACCAAAAGTGTCATTAGACAGTGTGCCATGCTTACAGTATTCACATAGCAAATATGAACAAAATCGCTTCAATACTTTTCGAATTATTATAAAATACATTAAAATGGCGGCCATTTTTCAAAATTTTTTTCAAAATGGCCACTTTCTACTAAAAGTGTCATAAGATAGTGTGTCATGCTTTTAGTATTCACATACCAAATATGAACAAAATCGCTCCACTACTTTTCGAGTTATAGTAAAATATGTTAAAATGGTGGCCATTTTGAAAAATGGCCGCCTTCTACCAAAAGTGTCATTAGACAGTGTGCCATCCTTATAGTATTCACATACCAAATATGATCAAAATCGCTTCACTTCTTTTCGAGTTATAGTAAAATAGGTTAAAATGGCGGTCATTTTTCAAAATGGCAGCCATTTTTTAAAATGGCCACTTTCTACCAAAAGTGTCTTTAGACAGTGTGCAATGTTTATAGTATTCACATACCAAATATGAACAAAATCGCTCCACTACTTTTCGAGTTACAGCAAAAATCGTAAAATAACTAGTAAAGGCCGCCATTTTTCAAGATGGCTGCCATGTGCTTCTTAAATATCTACATTTCTAGCTTTATTAATGTCCTATATAATTTTTTTACATCTAAAACATATTGCTATTACAGTTTTACATATTGCACCTAAATTACTGTAAATTCGGCACTAAAATGGCCGCCATTTTGAAATGAGCTGCCATTTTGGAAATCGGCTTTCGAGCAGAACTTCTACCCTCATAGGGTATATGTGTACAAAATATGAACAAAATCGGGCCAATGGTATTTGAGTTATTGCCCGGACGGACGGACGGACGGACGGACGGAGGCGTTCCCTATATCCCTCCGAACTTCGTTCGATGGGATAATTATTATATGATTATTATTGCTACTCAGTAAACATGTATTTTGGATGAGTATACTTGTCAGCAGAATCCTGAATATGGCCAGGATATGTTGCACTAACACTCAGATGATAAGATGAATGATGCAGTTCATCGTGGCTATGGAGGTGACATCTATTTACCTTATGATTGTATGAGTCAGCAACAAGTAGATGTCCATCAAGTGGAGACTGCATGGTGACAGCAAGTGGATGTTGTAACCTCACATCATAACCTTTACCATCTTTGTCACCAAACGCAAATAGATTCTGTAAGACAACATAATGTGGAAATCACATCAAATTATTAATCACCATATACCTTGTATTTAATCCATATCTGTAAAAAATAGAATAACAGTTATCTGATATCTCCAGATTTTTTGTTTGAAATCAAAGTCTAAATAGCCAAATGGTTATTAGAGTTCTGATTTGAATTTATCATTATTATTTTTATTGCAATCAAAAGGTCAAACTTCAATTGATCAACTAGAAAAACAGCAACTCCACGGAGTAGCAAATCCCACCAAACGGCAGTTGAGTTACCAAAGATTACGAAAATGAAAATGAAAAATGGCAGCCATTCTGAAATTTCAGCTGCCATCTTGAAAAAATTTTCTCGAACAGATCTACTGTGTCCCTAGGAATCATCATATAAAAAATGAGCCAAATCTGTTCACTGGTATTTGAGTTATCAAAGATTACGTTTTTTTACGAAAAATGGCGTCCATTTTGAAATTCAGCTGCCATCTTGAAAATTCTTTCTCGAACAGATCTCCTTTGTCCCTAGGCATCATCATATAAAATTTGAGCCAAATCCGTTCACTGGTATTTGAGTTATCAAAGATTACCTTTTTTTACGAAAAATGGCCGCCATTTTGAAATTCAGCGGCCATCTTGAAAATTGTAACTCGAACAGATCTACTGTGTCCCTTGGCATCATCATATACAATTTGAACCAAATCCGTTCACTGGTATTTGAGTTATCAAAGATTAAGTTTTTTACGAAAAATGGCCGCCATTTTGAAATCTAGCCGCCATCTTGAAAATTTTTACTCAAACATATCTACTGTGTCCCTAGGCATCAGAATATAAAATTTAAACCAAATCCGCAAACTAGTATTTGAGTTATTAAAGATTACATTTTTTACGAAAAATGGCGGCCATTTTGAATTCAGTGGCCATATTGAAAATTCCTACATCCATAAGGCATAAGCCTATAAAATTTGAATCAAATCTGTGAAACGGTATTTGAGTTATCGCCCGGACAAACAGACGGACGGACGGACATCTTGTAATATATAGATACACTGTCCCACATGTTTTGTTAAAGAGCAACTGAAGCATACAATCTTTCCACAAAGATAAATTCAGACCAACATTTGGATATCTACATCATATAGGTAGATTATAATTGATTTTATTTATTTGTCATATCCAGTATTTAATTTATTATAGGTTTAAACCCATATTAATATTGAAGTCATATTTGGTAAGTTAAAATCCAGTATATATTAATTATAGGAAATACCCATATTAATATTTAAGTCATGATTGGTAAGATAAAAATCCACATTAGATATAAAAGCAGGTCCCTCAGGCTTGTGCCTGACGGACGAACGAACGGACGGACGGACGGACGGACGGCTTTCCTATATCCCTCTCGAACTTCGTTCGGTGGGATAATTACATTTTCTGGATGATGAAAACATTACATCCATGACTATATACTCACAGTGGGATCTCTTTCTCCACCAATGAGTGCTTTTACAGCACCATTTTTCAAAGTGACCATTCTTACTGTTGAACTCTCACTATCTGCAACGAACAGACATGGGTTGTCTATAGTGCCACCTATTGTGATTCCTGAGGGTTGAGCAAAACCAGCATTGTGTGGATAGTTGTTGTTGCGATTTTCCTCATTTCCTGAGCCAGCAAATCTCAAACACACACCTTGTTTATGTTGGCTAAAACATGTAAGGGTAATTTATTAATAATCAGGTAAAATATCTTTAATGTGTTCCACTTCCATTCAAAATATAAACAAATTATTGATAATGTTATCATTTTGGATGAAACAAATAGTCACACACTCAATAGCATATACATGCAGGTTTTAGCCTGGGGGTTTCACTCCAATATACCTCTTAATACTAGTACTTAATACCTATGTGCCGCGCCAAAGACTCCCTTTTTGAGCATTTTTTCCATGTCAATTTCCTCTCAAGATTGAAAATTTCCATGTACACTTCCTCTCAGACGTATAGAAGGGAGTAAATTTCCTGAAATATTGGTATATTAACTACAAAATCCACTTTTGGGCAATTTTTCCCAGACCTCGCCAACTGATTCTACCCATTTATTATTTTTAGTAGAAAAAACTGATTTTTGACTAAAAAAAGGCTCTCTCTTTGACTAATTTTCCATATATTTCTCCTCCCAGATTGGCCAGGTTCCATGGCTTATGCCCTAAGCCAAAATTGCCCGTGCTGCATATACCTACCAAAATGTTTTAGAGTGAACCCCCCAGGGGTTTTAGGTGATAGCAAAACTTGATATTTGTGATATTTAATAAATTGCTGAATGTTCTGTATGACAATTTACTTTTCACTTCAACCCTAATAGCAATTGCTAATAATGAAGCACTTGAATACCATACCTGCCTTTGTACCATTTAGTGTCATCAAGGAAGAGGACCCATAACTGGTGTGTGCCAGCCATAGCAATAAAGAGGACATTGTCTGTGGCAGATCCTATAAATACATTCATATACAGGGGTACATTACCACTAGGCTAGCTTTTAAAGTTAAGATTGTTCATTTTTATTATGTGGCCTTGCATTTTTGCATTAGAGATACATGAAGTCTAACTAGAATGAAGACCCAGGGTGAACAATATCGCACATTTGAATAGAATATCAAGAAGTGAAAGTTTGACATTATTATGTTGTATATTGTGTAGTACATGATTATTATATAGGTCCAAAATGGTCATAAGATAAAACATAAGTACAGTCAGTATGTAAAGTTTTAACCACTTTTAACTACTATTGTAATTATCAAAGATTACATTTTAACAAAACATGATGGCCATTTTGAATTGAGTGGCCATATTGAAAACTCCCTCTTGAGCAGAGGTCCTATTGTCTATATGGAATAAGTCAATCAAATTTGAACCAAATCCGTCCAACAGGATTGAACTATGTTTGATGGGATAATCATGTACATTGTATGAAACCAGAACAAGTTAGATCGAGTTTGATACCTGGTGATTTCCCAATGGTGAGGTCCCATGGGGAACTGATAGGCTGTTCTACACCAGTTTTTCCTCCCTCCTTATCTTTACCCTGGATGCTAGTTCCTGCAACGGTTTCGACTGACTCACTCTCTAGACCAAGCTTGAACAGAAAATTATACAACAATAAATACAACACAGTCATACTGTTTAATCCAATCAATACAATAAACTCACCAAAGGGAAACATTCAAATGGCTTCTAGAATGGTTCCATTCATTGAAATTGTATTTGAAATATAAAGCCCTGATGCCCTGAATTAAAATATTTCTAAAAGATTATTTAATGAATGCAGTTTTAATCTTTCCATATCAGAGAAATGGGCTTCATTTCATTGAAGTAAAAAATGTTTTTTTGTTCCTTTATGTTATCAACAGTTTTCATCAGATTTTAATTCATTGTACATTATACATTCACCTGAAAATAAGGGAGTCACACATGAGTCATATGAAATCAAAGATTCCATACAAGCACAATTTCATCTGATACAAGTTTGGAGGATGAGTCTGAGATGAAATCATTGTGCAAATGTGGCATTTTTATCTAAACAATAAATATTGAGTTTTCTCAGGAAAACCATGAGCTTTCGGAAAGCCCATGGGAAAACATTCTCATGACATCGTATAAAATCATTTGTAAAACTTGCAGGTTGAAACTACATTGTAAATGTTCTGTTTGAGACATTACATCTTGGATTGCCTTATCCCGGATAATCACATGTCAGGCGCTGGCCAATCAGATACTTGGATCTCCAATATGCATACCTTTCTGACTGTATGATTCTCTGTGTCCGCCACATAAAGGATGCTGTCGGAAAACCAGGTGACACCTTGTGGAGAATAAAACTGACAGTTCTCGAAACTACCATCTTTGTTCCCTTTTGAACTTCCACCAATAACAAACTGAAAATGATGTCATGATGTAATTCCCTTGTAAATAATTTAGGATCATGTCTAATTTAGCAATTAAACTTAAAAGATAATCTCTTCCAAGAAACAATGTATATATCAGACTGACAACTTTTTTGCTTTTATGTTTCTGTTCCAAGAAATTGTATCAGTCATAAAATGATAAACATTATGTCATAGATGTCTACATTAAACAATGTAGTTGTTATAATACTTGTAACATCAGGGGTGTAATAAAATTTAAGGCATAAACGAATGAAAATTAAGACAGGAAAAATTATTGGAAATTATAAATTTAACATGGAAACAGTTGCAATATTTCTCAAAATATCAGGGGATTTGAGAAAATTGTTTATAACCCGATGCAAGTGAAACCTCTGAATCTTGTTCATGAAGTAAACGTAAAATGTTAGTAATACAAGGACATTGAGCATAATTGCTATTAGATCTGATAATTTAAGTATTTAGTTTTTACCTTCACAGTCCCTTGTCTGTCAGTGATGAGTATCCGATGATGTCCCGTGTCTGCGATAGCGAGTAACATCCCATTTTTACTGACAGATACCTTTCCAGGATAAGACAGAGCAGACTGTTCCAAGTCTTCTTTTAACAATTTCAAAGGCAATGTCCTGTCACTAATCAAATCCTTCGATCTGTAATGGTCAATTGCAACTTTGACAAAATCTTGTAATTGTTTACCGTGTCCTTCTCCTATTAGATGAAGCAGTTGTTGACCATTGGGACCAAGTACAACAAAAGTTGGCCAGCACTGGATTCCCATAGCAGTCCAAATTTTAGCATCAGCATCATTTACAACAGGATGTGTGATATTATATCGAAGCACAGCATTTTTGATGTTATCCGACAACTTTTCATTTGTGAATTTTGCTGAATGGACACCAATAACAACTACGCCATCTTCAATAGAATATTGTTTCTCGATGTTTTCAAGATCTGGAAGGACGTGCATACAATTGATGCAACAATAGGTGAAGAAGTCTAGCACCACTATTTTTCCATGAAGGTCCTTTTTGAGTGATAGAGGGGTTGATGTATTCAGCCATTCCCAATCTGAAAGATAAATAAATATGATTTGTCAAATACATGTATTTCTTAGATATTGGTAATTTTGATCATGAAACATACTCCAGTACAGTCCATTCAAGAACCTGTCATTTTGTTCAAAATAATGACATTATTAGTTTCCTAATATGATAATAACATAAACAAGATGTTAAATGGTCATTTTAATTATGATGACATATTTACCATGTGTATACAATACATTATTTCATAGCTAAGATATGGTAGGAAACAGGAGTTACAATAAATTGAACTGCAATATGAACAGGTATACATTTTGTCATGTAAAAATATAACAGTGGAGTAAGTGTTTTGTAGTCAAATCATGTTGGATTATGAGACTACAGTATTCTTACATCTAAGGAGAGACATTAATTGAAAAATTGCTACAGTATACTCATCCATGTTTTTTAATACTAAATAAGACATGTTTGTGTTGCTTTACTTTTTTAGGAATGTTAAATATATATATGTCACGATATAGGGACAAAAAATATTGACATTTTAAAAGTACTGTTTATTTCGTTTTGTTATTATGAAAAGTAATTAAGGAACGTTGGCTACCTTGGCTGTTGAAACCTGGTGATATAATCATTATCTTTACGAAGAATAGATTATGTTTTATGCAGGCATTTCAAAACACGTTACTTTGCCTTTAAAACGTTCGTTCATTGTCAATGGATGATTTTTTATGTAGCCATTTCTAAAACACGTTAATTTGCCTTTAGAACGTTACCTTAATAGACTTTAAGTTTTCTCTAATAAGATTGGATGGTTTTTATGTACGCATTCTTAAAACACGTTACTTTGCCTTAAAAACGTTACTTTATTGGACTTTAACTGATCTCTACGAATGGATGATTTTTTTATGTAGGCCATTTTCAAAGCAAAGTACTTTGTCAGTAAAACGTTACTTTATTCGACTTTAACAATATTCCACGAAGAATGGATGAATTTTATGTAAGCATTTTCAAAACACGGTGCTTTGTCTTAAAAACGTTACTTTATTGGACTTTAACTTATCTCCACGAAGAACATATGATGGATGATTTTTATATGTAGGCAACTTCAAAACACAGTATTTTGACAGTAAAACGTTACTTTATTCGATTTCGTTAACCATACTCCACGAAGAATGGATGAATTTTATGTAAGCATTTTCAAACATGTTACTTTGCCTTAAAAACGTTACTTAATTGGACTTTAATTGATCTCCAAGAAGAATGGATGATTTTATATTAGGTATTTTCAAAACACAGTACTTTGTTAGTAAAACGTTACTTTATTCAACTTTACCCATACTCCACGAAGAATGGATGGCTTTTTATGCAGGCATTTTCAAAACACAGTACTTGGCCTTAAAAACGTTACTTTATTGGACTTAAACTTTTCTCCACGAAGAATGGATGACTTTTTGTGTAGTCTTTTCAAAACACGTTACTTTGCCTTAAAAACGTTACTTTATTGGACTTTAACAGATCTCCACGAAGAATGGATGATTTTATATTAGGCATTTTCAAAACACAGTACTTTGTCAGTAAAACGTTACTTTATTCGACTTTAACCATACTCCACGAAGAATGGATGGTTTTTTATGTAGGGCCTTCTTAAAACACGTTACTTTGCCTTAAAAACGTTACTTTATTGGACTTAAACTTTTCTCCACGAAGAATGGATGAATTTTTGTGTAGTCTTTTCAAAACACGTTACTTTGCCTTAAAAACGTTACTTTCTTGGACTTTAACTGATCTCCACGAAGAATGGATGATTTTATATTAGGCATTTTCAAAACACAGTACTTTGTCAGTAAAACGTTACTTTATTCGACTTTAACCATACTCCACGAAGAATGGATGGTTTTTTATGTAGGGCCTTCTTAAAACACGTTACTTTGCCTTAAAAACGTTACTTTATTGGACTTAAACTTTTCTCCACGAAGAATGGATGAATTTTTGTGTAGTCTTTTCAAAACACGTTACTTTGCCTTAAAAACGTTACTTTCTTGGACTTTAACTGATCTCCACGAAGAATGGATGATTTTATATTAGGCATTTTCAAAACACAGTACTTTGTCAGTAAAACGTTACTTTATTCGACTTTAACCATACTCCACGAAGAATGGATGGTTTTTTATGTAGGGCCTTCTTAAAACACGTTACTTTGCCTTAAAAACGTTACTTTATTGGACTTTAACTGATCTCCACGAAGAATGGATAATTTTTTTATGCAGGTATTTTCAAAACACAGTACTTTGCCTTAAAGACGTAACTTTATTGGATTTTAACTGATCTCCACGAAGAATGGATGATTTTTATGCACGCACTTTCAAAACACAGTACTTTGCCTTAAAGACGTAACTTTATTGGATTTTAACTTTTCTCCTCGAAGAATGGATGATTTTTAGGTAGGCATTTTCAAAACACAGTACTTTGCCGATAAAACGTTACTTTCGTGGACTTTAACTTTTCTCCTCGAATAATGGGTGATTTGTTATGTAGGCATTCTAAAAACACAGTACTTTGCCAGTAAAACGTTACTTTTAACTTTATTCCTTCAAGTTTCGAACATTTTAGCCTGGTGTTTTTAAAAAGCGTTACTTTGGCCGATTTCCGTAACTTTCTTGTACTCTTAGTTTTCCTCCATCGAGCGTTGGTGAAATTTAGGTAGGCATTTTCAAAAAGCGTTACTTTGGCCCTTTTCCGTTACTTTCTTGGACTTAAACTTTTTTGCCCGATTGAGTATTTTGAATGTAAAAAATAAGGAATCAAAGGACGATATTGAACAGTATTTTGTAAAAGTAGAAACAATTGTACGAGGCCTAACTTTTGTTTATTTTGGTTTGTTTTGTAGTTAGCTATCATATGTGTGGCCTCTTATATTTCGATGCTTCTCTGCCATGACATTTTCGACACTAAAAATTAACATGGATGAAACTCAATAAATTACTGAATGCCACACGTTTGCTGTAACTATCTGAAATACTAAAGTTAGGCCTTGTACATAGGTTTCTATTTCTCCAAATATTGTTGCAATATGGTCATTTGATTGCTTATTTTTTAAATTCAAAGTACTCAATAGATGATTTTGAATCGCATTTTGACGAACTTCAGTTTTGTCTCCGTCAGTCGATAAAAAGACCACAGTGCAATATTAAATCGAAAAATACATTGATATTCTGATGCAAACGATTGTATTGTTTGTTAGCTTGTGTTTTTAATAATACAATGTGTATATATAATTCTTGAAAACTAGGGATTTAGTTCGAAATTTATGAGATGTAGTTGAAGCGAACGACATCTTTATGAATTACTCATACTTATAGTCGGATTGAAAACTGTGTTTTATAAAGATGTCGCTCAGTATCATACAACATGACTTGGCACAACAAGATCGAATAAACAAGATACACCATCAGACCTAGGATGAAGAAAAGAAGAATATTTGTTTTGGAAAGAGGGTCAAAATTGTTGCATCAATGTCTAAGATGGTTGCATTCAAACGTACTAAGAAAGGGAAGTGAAAAATAATGCCACGTTATAAGTGACCTAAATGGCGCGGACGTCAGAGAGCGCCTTCCGGTAAAGTGGGTGTTTGGGATGAATCGATCTTTTATCGTATGAATCGCTAAAATTGCAGTAATTCAACACTGTTATCGGCTAAACTAATCTATAAATTAACGTACATTCATGAAAAAGGATCCACTTTGGTCTTTTAACCGCCTAATTGAGTACATTGAACGTTAAATAAGCAACCGACATTGCAACAGAAAATGAAAAAAATATAAACATACGTACAAGACGTAACTATTGTATATTACAGATAGTTAGGTATAACGTGCAGTGAAGCTGTACCTATTTAGGGAGTTTCATCCATGTTATTATTTCGAAAATAACATGGAAGATCATCGACCTACGAAACAAACCAAAACAAAAGTTAGGCATTGTACAAAAGTTTCTATTTTTCCATAAACTGTTTAAATATGGTCATTTGATTCGTTGTTTTTTAGATTCGAAGTAGACCTACTCAATGGAATTATTAATCGAGCAAAATTGCAAGAATTTAAGATTTTCAAGGTGGAATAAGTGAATTAATAGATGGAAAAACACTACTAGCCTCTCTTTACACTATGGTCCATCTTATCTTTTACAATAATTAGTAATACCACTCACTGACAAGATTTTCAAGTTACACATCGAAAAAAGTTTAAGTCCAAGAAAGTAACTGAAAAGGGCCAAAGTAACGCTTTTTGAAAACGGAGTGGCTCCAGGACCGACAATTGTCGGTACTGGAGACTGTCCAGGGGTATTTGCTGGGGTATCGACAATTGTCGGCACTCTATCGTCACCTAGTAGTGTCAGATAGAGAACCGACAATTGTCGGTACGCAAGTGGCTGCTACGTGTTTTTGCTAGAGAGCCGACAATTTCATAAATAAATTCACTACTTTTAATTTCATAAATATCTTCATCACTGGTAGTCTAGTGGTTAGCGAGCACGATTCGAACACACTCGGTCCCGAGTTCGAATCCCGGCAAGACCTATTTTTTTCTTTTGAGGGGGGGGATAGTGCTTCTTTTGCAGTATGGAATCGTACAGGCATTAACTTGTAGTGAGCCATAATTTATTTCGACAAAAATTGATTCAACTTCCATCAAAATTGTCCTACAAGCTTCAATTAAAAAACATTTTAAAGCTCTTTTCTTGTTCTATCTAATGGGTCGATATATACAATTAGGAGGGGATGCTTTCGCCCCCGTCGACCTCTACCCTTACTACGCCATGGCACAGGAGAAATATCTCATTTGGAATATATCACTGTTTAATTTGCGTTTGGTAGCTCTCTCATGCGAGATGGAATCATGGCCATTAACTAAGGGAGCCAAATGCAACTTCCATCAAAAATTGTGCTATAAGGTATGAGTACCGTAATCCAACACCAAATTTGAAAATTCATAACAATACTTTGCACATATGGCGTTCGTGACCAACTATGAAACGCTTACCCCCCATAGTGTTATATATCAAAATGCACCTGTCCATATAGGGGTTCGATTGACCTACATCAAATTATAGGGAGTCGGGTTACTTTTTGAGATATCAGCGTCCGTTTATTGTAACTCGCGTTTGCTACCACTTCCTCAATTCTGATATGACAGGCAAACGCGTAGTAAACATCCTCACGTTCGGAACTATTTTGACCTACATCGCTATTTTCGTAATTCAAATGAAAGTTGAACTCCTCTTTATTTTGATACCAAATAGTGGCATACTAGGTACCCTAGAAGCCAACTATGGGTTATTTAGAACGATACCACAGGTTTTTAAATGGACTATATACCTTTTGGCGGATGGATATGGAACCTCATACCATACGATAAGCTCTAAAAAACATTCTAGCTATTTTCTTCTATCTAATGGGTAGCAAACGCCCCTTCCTTTTTATTGGGTTTTCAACGTTTACTACCATTCCCTGTTCCCGGGCTACCATTTTTTGACTGGGTTTGGTAATCCCCGGGTAACTGGGGCTAATGCCCTCCCCAGGTTTTGCACTTGTTCCCAAAATATCCGTATGATATCTGAAATATCCCCCGCGCATTGCGCATGCGCCAGAAAATTCGAAAATCAATATTTGTCGGTCCTCTAGCGTGTAAACACAGCATATCTCCCGTACCGACAATTTATTTGTCGGTCCTCTAGCGTGCCACCACATCAGAGTCTAGAGTACCGACAGTTACGGTTTTTAAAAATGCCAGGCTAAAATGTTCGACACTTGAAGGAATAAACTGGCCAAGTAACGTGTTTTAACAACTTGGCATGGAAACAGTTAGAGTCCACGCGAGTCCACGAAAGTAACGTTTTATCGGCAAAGTACTGTGTTTTGAAAATGCCTACCTAAAAAATCATCCATTCTTCGAGGAGAAAAGTTAGAGTCCACGAAAGTAACGTTTTATCGGCAAAGTACTGTGTTTTGAAAATGCCTACCTAAAAAATCATCCATTCTTCGAGGAGAAAAGTTTGAGTCCACGCAAGTAACGTTTTATCGGCAGAGTACTGTGTTTTGAAAATGCCTACCTAAAAATCATCCATTCTTCGAGGAGAAAAGTAAAAGTCCAATAAAGTAACGTTTTTAAGGCAAAGTAACGTGTTTTAAGAATGCCTACATAAAAAATCATACATTCTTTGTGGGGAGAAGTTAAAGTCCGATAAAGTAACGTTTTATTGGCAAAGTACTGTGTTTTGAAAATGCTTACCTAAAAATCATCCATTCTTCGAGGAGAAAAGTTAGAGACCAATAAAGTAACGTTTTTAAGGCAAAGTATCGTGTTTTAAGAATGCCTTCATATATTCATTCCGGCTTTTGTGGGGAAAAGTTAAAGTCCAATAAAGTAAGTTTTATTGGCAAAGTACTGTGTTTTGAAAATGCTTAATATAAAATCATCCATTCTTCGAGGAGAAAAGTTAAAGTCCAATAAAGTAACGTTTTTAAGGCAAAGTAACGTGTTTTAAGAATGCCTACATAAATGCCTACAAAAATCATCCATTCTTCGTAGAGTATGGTTAAGTATCATACATAAATGCCTACATAAAACATCATCTATAGTCATGTTTGACTTTCCATAATAACAAAACGAAAAAAACGGTACTTTTAAAATGTCAATATTTTCTGTCCCTATATCTTGACACTGTTGGTTAAATATGCACAGCCAGCACCATCTATCTAATATCTAATATAATAGAATGAAGTCTGGTAACTGCACTTTCAGTTTAATATTGAATAATGAAGATTGACAGTGGTCACTGTGTAAATATGTAAAAGGGAGAAAATTCTAATTTAGGTATATTTATGATCTCTTTTTGCAAAACTGATAGCTGTAGACAATGGATGGAATGATTATTAAGTACCTGAAAATAATAAAGGACTACAACTAGAATTTCTGAACAGCGGGGGGTGCCTCCTTAAGTGGAGAAGTGTTTCATGATTTCAGTGTACATTTTAAAATGAGTTGTAAACCATAGATCTATTTTTTAAATGTTAAGGTTCAAATTACATTCTATTTAAATCATATCACTGTTAAACTATATATCTGCTTTAAATGGGCTTATTAACCTTTTGCGGATTATTGATGTAGATGTAGATCTAGATGTGTGATCGCCTATGCAACACAACAACAAGTTGATGCCATAGAACTTGGTTCATCTATAAAAGTAAGTAAGCCGAAAGATTTGATCATTTGAACATTATTAGAAACCAACTTTTGGACTGTCATGTCGTGAAAGCTAACGTTCCTTTTAGATATCTAAATCTAATTTTAAAAATCAAATTTAAAAAAATAAATTTTAATTTAAAAATAAAAATCAGACGGAAGTGATAATAAAAAGTGACTTACTGGGCTCAAAATCCAATGCTGTTTCCTTATTCTTCTCATCAACATTCTCTATATGTCTCCTAATGATATCATATTTCTTATTGTCACAATCTATCTCTAATAACGCAGCTTCAAGCTCAAAACTGTCAGAAATGACAAAATTTTCTTTTTCCATGTCTTATTTCCGGTTTATTCTAAACCAATCAAATTAATTCCAGACATTCAGTCCTTGACCTACAGGCATGCAAAAATCATGTCCTGGATTTAAAAAACACAGATTAATTTAATGATTCCACGGTCATTGTGTCATATGATGCTACCGAAAGTGCAAAGATATCTTCTAAGGGATCTTAGAATTTGATTGCAGGAAGTAATAACACGACAGCGTCAATTCTTACGTGGATATTTTGGTGTGAAGTTGTGGTATGTTTTTAATTTTTAAAAATTTTCACTGAAAAATGAACGCAATATTTCAGTTTCCTAGTCATATAAATCTGACCCTTGTATGATGTTATCTGTTGTTATTTTTTCTGATTTGGATATTTATTTTCTCTTATTTTCTTGCATACGAGCGTCATACACACTTCCCTCATCTATATTGCGGGAAATGCTTTCCTGGCCTGTCTACCCAACCAAATTCACACAAATGATAAATTAATTTCTTTGCTTCAACTATAAAGTATTTAATCTTACCATGGGCTTTCAACTAGAAGGGTAGGCAACTTCCCATATTTCATACATAAACATTGCCTTTGGATTTTCAAAATTGGAGAAAGTACACATTCCAATAAAATATTATTTTATACTTTTTATGGGCGATTTAAAGAAATAACTCAAAAATAAAAACATGATCATCTCCAAACATGTTGATAATTTAATAAAAAATGGAATTCATCATAATTATGACAATATAGAAAGTGAACATTCTCCCACAAATTATGTTTTTATTGGAATGTGTTCTTGAATAATTACCCACAATGCAATACTCAAAGAGAACCTCTTATTCTAATTGGCCTTTTTTGTATATTTTTACATGAGATTGAATATATTTTATGCTTGAATCATATTGAAAACTGATTTTTATTCAAAATAATACTAAAAAATATACATTTATCTAATACTTTTTGAAATATTACCATAAAAGGGAAGCGTGGCATTGCTCATTTTGAAGGTCTCATGTTATTACACAGAGTTGCATACCCTTCTAATTGAAAGCCCATGATCTTACCTTAGGCACGTAAAACGCTTGGTAATTGAAGAAATATAAGCATGCCGCTTGAATTTTAAAATTTTTTCACTTTGCCATACCAAGGTCACTTCCGGGTTTATCTGAGTCTAGATGTAAAACTATATCAAACGAAATCAAAAGTATTTGTTACACGAAGACTCAGTTGAAAGGGAAGCAGTGTCATTAAGAACGGAAGTTATTTAGAAAGTTATTGTTTCAAAATGAGAAAAGTGAGAAGTATGAGAGAACGGCTTTGGAATTGATCTCTGAGTAATAAATAATTATGATTCCGTTTTGATAGATGTTTTACATTAAGACTACCGGAAACAACATTTAGCAACATGGCGGGCGATGATGAAAATATAATTCAATTGATTATATTTCGTCAATTATCAAGCGTTTTACATGTCTAAGGTAAGATTTAACACTTTGATGTTGGAACTAAATAATTACTCGATAATTTGTGTGACTTTGGTTAGTATGGTAATTATGGTTACCCAGACAGGCCAGGAAAGCGTTTACCGCAATTTGTTCCATATAATATCTACGACCGTGTATGCAAAGAAAATGATAAAAAATACGAAGTGTCTGGAGTACCTTAAAATTTAAGGCTCTTTAGCCAAAATGCTAAAGAGCCTTAAAATTTAAGGCTATTTAGCTGTGAACATAGTGTTTTGGCTAGAGAGCCTTTGTGTTTATAATCCGTGTTTATATTGTTTTTTATTGAAGTTTTCGTCATCTAAACAATAAAACAACACTCTCGAAAGTTTTTCAACCCAGAATGCCACTTAAAAATTTCACACATGTATATCACTATAGAGTTGCAAAAAAATTGGTCCCATCACGGAAAAACACTCTGGTATAGTGGTTAGAGTGCTCGCTTTCCACTTCTGCGGCGTGGGTTCGATTCCCCGACGGAGCACATTTTATTTTGAATAACAAGCCAGAAGTTTGTTCTCTGCCCGGTTCTCTGATGTCCGGAAATTATGTACACAATTTTTTCTAGAATTCTTGGGCTTGCTCCATCGCTCAATCATCAATGTTTAATGAAATTAATCACTTGTATCGGCTTTGCTATAGTCACGAAAATACAGGGAACCCCATTTTAAGATGGCAAAAAGTATGATGAAGACCTGGGGATGAAAAAGGATCTTGTTTCTTCTAGATCAGCACATCTTGACGCAGTTTATCGTGAATGCAGGGACATCACAGAATACACTTCCAAATCTATTGCCCATTAGACTGTTAGATTTCAATGCTGATTTTAGAATTTTTCACGTGACGAGATATTTTTGCATCTTCCCTGAGACTAACATGAAATATGTTAGTCTCAGATCTTCCTCAGAATTTAAGCACATGAGACAGCACAAAGAAAATTTACAGTACAAGAGGTGAACTGTCGAGGAAACAGCGGCTTATGCAACACAACAACAACATTTTTATCCTAGCCTCCAATCCATCAAAAAATGTCTATACATCAAGATCTTTACTAAACCATTGTAAACGGACGTTGCGATTTAGCCTATAGTGGATAAAATGGTAAAAATAACATTTTTTCTGGCTATCACGTGATTGCCTGGTCTTACACCTTCCCTGGTGAACCAGAGACATATATTTTCGATATATGCATGAACATCAAACAAACAAACATTTACTTTTCAAAGTCGATGTTTGAACCTTAAAAAGCCAAATTTAGACTGGGGATTGAAAAGGTTCTTTTATTTCTCTCGGTAGACCGGAAGTAAATTTATGAGTCGAGCAAAAAGTGATAATGTTTTTTTATGAAGTGGGGAAGTCAAAACAGTACTAATAGAAGTCATAGTAAGCATTAGAAGATCATTTAAAACCATTCAAATCGACGGCAAAGTTAGTTGAAATGACTGAAATCTTTGTTATCTTCTTCATCTTCGCGGACCTCAGAGAAGTCACTTCCGGTTTAGTATCAGTGATTTTATCGATCAAAAAAAATTTCTTTTTGAATTTGTCTGATATCTGCTAATATGGTATGTATATTTGTGCTGATTGTTCAATTACATAATAGGTTGGGTATAGAATATGTCAAAGTCGTTTGATCTTGTTCCAGAAGCAATATTTCGTCATTTCTGTCGCCTGGAATTCCTTTAAGGCTCTCTAGCAGAATTGGCTATCAAAATGCTAAAGAGCCTTAAAATTTAAGGCTCTTTAGCCCAAATGCTAAAGAACCTTAAAATTTAAGGCTCTTTAGCATTTTGGCTAGAGAGCCTTAAATTTTAAGGCTCTCCAGGCGCGGCCTAAAAAATAAATATCCAAATAAGAACTAGGAATATCAAAGAACAGCATACAACGGTCGGATTTATATGACTACAGTTTCCAGAACCAAGGTATAAACAATATATGAACTTAGTGTATCTTTAAGTGCAAATAGCGAGCAGTCCAACTGAATTTGAATGCACTTATACTATGTCATAATTTACCATCAGATTCACAGTCTTCTTCTTTATCCATTTCGTGATCGTGTACGTCACTTGACACTGTACAGTAGTGCTGCCCTTTGTCACTAATGGTACAGTATTTCTTCTTCAGTATTTAGTCTTTGTACTAATTATCACTTGATACTTGTCACTTATACTTGTCATTATGAAGTTTATATGATTTTGGGCAAGTCTACATTCTTCTTTTCAAGTTAAACAACAAAAATTAGAATTAGCCAGCGTACAAGCTGGGTATTGGTTGATTTCTCCACGAAGATCCTCTTTTTAGCAATTAATCGTTGTTGCCCTCAAATTGAAGATAATTGACAAAATAGAGGAGAATTTCTGTTTAAAATGGACTCGCCGGACAGTCTCTCAACTTCTGCATCTACATGGTCCACATCAATAATCTGCAAAAGGCCAATAAGCCCATTTAAGCAGATATATGGTTTAACAATGATAGAATTTGAATAGAAAATAATTTATACCTGATCATTTAAAAAATAAATCTACAGTTTCATTACAACTCATTTAAAAAATTTAAGGAAACTCCCTGGTTGGCCCATATACCCCCTAAGAAGTCCCTTTGTACATGTTGTATAAAAATACCCTGAGACGACTGTCAGGCTACCACGTTGACATTGCCCATCTTTACCAGTAGTGCAGGATTGTTGCTAGGGATGTCACAGGACAAAAAATTTCAGGACTTGACGGGGATTATCCATTTCGGGACGGGACTTTCGGGACAGGACAGAACATAACCGACAAAATAGTCAATCACAGTAAAAAAACTTACATTTTCCGTCTACTTCTGGTTTTGCTCATGCAGCGCGGATCTTTTGAACATCACAAGGGAACTGTGCATGTTGCGTAAAACTTGAGATTAATTTTAAGTTGTTATTTTTCTCGCCGATAAAGTTCTTTGTTATTGTTTAAAATAAAATATATTTGAAAGGGAAACACTGTTATCGATAAAACTACATGTTCTGTCCTGGATTTTCATTTAATATAATCACTTATAATAATTGCCACTATATGGCATTTACGCATGGACCTAATTGGGCAGAGAAGTTATAAATACGAAAGAAAATTTAAGTCTAAATAATATTTATCATGCATTTGGGAAGTTTTAGGGTCATATAATAGGAGAAATAGTATATCTTGAACATGGACCAGATATTTGGTACACAGGGGTTGTGCCATCCAAACCCGAGACCAAAGTCCAGAGGGACGGGACAATATCAGGAAACCGTGACACCCCTAGTTGTTGCTGTGCCCTTGGGACATTCCATTACAAATTTACCATAGACCTACTCAGCTTTTATTTAGTGTTACCAAAAAGTGGAGTCCAAACCAAAAAAAGTGGGTCCGAAAAATTAAAGGCCTGAAACTAATTAAAAATGAAAAAATTGGATGTTCCAAACTGCAAACTGCTTAGTTAATGAGTCGTCGTTTCTATTGTTTTGAGCTGCCAGGCCAGCTCTTAAGCGTGCAGCTTGACGGTTATTTGCTGTGGCATCAATGTGCCCATCTGATCTCGCATGACGAGTTAGACTAGAAAATTGATAGTCTTTTCACCAATTTGTCGTGAAGATATTCCATTTTCCAGATGTTATGCATATATTACACTTCATGCCTTGATTTTGCTCTGGTCTTCGTAGCTATGGGAAATCGTTTTGGTTGGATTTACTTCTTTTTAATGATATTTTACAAAATCTTTTGCAACATTTGAAAACAATTAAATGAATTGTATGTGATTCATGTACTCATATCTTGTATCCTAGCCTTTGAATTTGGGCTACCCTCACTTTTAGTCTTGATACACAATATTCATGATTGAAACCTCAAATCATTGAGCCATGGGGTTAAATCATTTAACATGAATTTAACCATTGGCTGGACCTAAATGATACTTGTTTACTGTTTAATATATACTTTATAAACTGCACAAAGTTCAAAATCTATATCATGGAAAATAATGATAGTCAGTAGACATATATTTATGATTAAGTAAAAGTGAAAGAAGTTTAATTTCTATCCAGTTTCATTGAGACAAGAAATGTCTGTGTGTCAGATATTCTTGTTTTGTAGTTTGTTGGTGTAAAAAAACTAAAATAGAAAAAATGCAATTTTTATCAAGAAACCCTCATTTATTCTATTTATGATCATTACACAAATGGCACAAATGGTGAGGGGATAATATGGTAAACCATGACATCTCATTTCTTCTCAGCCCTGTTTCAGGTAAATCAGAAAGATGCTATGAGTATCAGAATGGTGCTGGACCATCAATCAGGATATACGAAGGCCAGACATTTCCCTTTAATAATTATTTACTGTCTATGTGTCTTTTTAAGGTCATTGCTGATATCTTATCTTGAGTTTACATGTGTTTCCTTTTTTAAATCATAAGTACATATCAAAATTTCATTTAAGCTATCTAGTTCTAGCTTATGATAAAAAATTGATGGGTATATCATTCACATTAACTCTTCGCATTCCCAGTTCTTATTTTAATATATATGTAAATGAAAAATTTAATGTTCCTCCATCCCTTTACCCCTGAAATAATGTAAAGTATGTTCCTGTCGCAAAAGTCCATTAAGAAATAAACATGTATTTAATTATCCATGTAATCACCCCAAACATGTTCGGCACCCACTAAAGAGTAAAGATTTGTCTCGACTCTACCTGTGTTAGCCCCTTCATTATTTTACACATAATTCAAACCTTAATCATTTATGTATCTTTCTTGTTAGAGGGAGAGGCTTATTTGCCTTATTAGGAAGTGGGTGCTTGCTATGGTGATTACCATACTAAAAGACTCTGATTTTACTTTCAGGCTGTTCCAAGAGAAGAAAATTAGCCATGGCGAAATATTTTACCACTGTAAATGAGTTTAAATACTCATGGGACCAAGTAGCTGCTGGGTTTTGGCAGAGATACCCCAATCCATACAGGTGAGTCTTAAAGAAAACCGTGCAGTATGCCTAGATATAATTGTCTATAGTGGGACCATTTGTTAAAAAGGAATCTTTGATTATTCCTGATGACGTAAAGTCGAGGAAGCTAGATATCCACCCGCATCTTTCAAGTAGATCCCTTGGGGATCAAAGCTGTGACTTTCCCTCAACTTTTCATCTTCAGGAGTAAAATTGTAGGCTTCACATCAAATTGAAAAGACTATTGACAGCGAGGTTGAAATCTGTAGCTGGAGATTTGAATTTAAACTTTGATTGACAGTTCCAGGCGATTGGAAGCCAGAGTTCTAATTCGATATCCTTTAATCTCCAAGTGATCATGCCTATATACGTATTTATACGGCTGCGGGGAAAATGAACAATATTTTCCAACAAAAATGGTATCATCATTGTCTGACATTTACTTATAAACTTACAATCAGCATTCAAAATATTAAACTAATCCATTTAATTAAGCCACTAATAATCTTGATCACTTCTTGTGTGTTTTGAATTTTTTTGTTTGGTAATAAGATAAAAACTTGCGATTGAAATTTTGAAGTGAGAAATACCGACTCCAGGACTGACTCAAGCTTTGTGTGAGAATATCGTTGTTGCATTATGGCTGCCAATCCTCTTTGTTATCTTTGATAACTTAAATACCAGTGGACGGAGATGGTTCAATTTTATATGCTGATGCCTCCTAGGGACAAACAAGCTCTGCTGAAAAAGGAATTTTCAAGATGGCAACTGAATTTCAAAATAACCATTTTCATTAATAAACGTAATCTTAGACAAATTAAGTACCAGTTGATTGATAAGATTCAAATATTACATGCTGATCCTGAAGACAAAGGAGTTCTGCTTGAGAAGAAAATTTCAAGATGACAGCTGAATTTCAAAATGGCCACCATTTTCATAAAAAAGCATCATCGTTAAGGTTAAGATCTTCCACTAACAAATAATACATAATTTTATATAATTCTCTATGTCTACACATGGTAAAATCATCTTTTTCTAACTAGATTCCGCTAGATTTTGGCCTATAACTAATTGGGTGTAAGACTATATCCCTTCATTTCTTGGGAACTTAATCTTCATTCCCTGGGCATCCTTGGTCCAAGGGTATTTCACTTCTTTACATAGCTGCTATATATATTCCTTGGGATTATCAGCTGGTAAATATCAATAGGATATCTTGACATGAATCAATAAACATTAATTTAATTGCTCCAAACAATTGACGAGTGTATTAATTTCATCAATATCATTAATATTTAGTGTTATTGAAACCATTATTAACCCCTTGCCAACTGTTTGTGACTATAGTTATGCATGGTGTGACCTTTAACAAATTTTTTATTATTATTTTATTGAGCAGTTTCATGCAAGCTTTCATTTGATGCAATTCATGTCTTAGATATCAACTTATACTCATCAATTAAGCATTGAAGTCAAAATATGAATTTTAGCCACCAGTTCAGTTGGTCAAGGGAAATCTATTATTTCTTACAAGTTGAGTACTTTATCTACTTACAATCCATTAAGGCCACAAATGTTTAAATACAATATATTAATTTTGGGATATATTTAAAGAGCCATTGGTTCTATAATATCACTTAAAATCCCAAGTACAAGAATATACAAGAATATATAATCATGTGGCATAAATATATATAATTCATGGTAAAGACAGGTAAACTAACTTGTGACCATAATACATTACATACATCGGTGAACTAATCTAAGTGCCATTATATAAGAGGCAGGCTGTTAAATTTTCATTTATTCAATTCTTCCAGACTCTATTGAGTATTTTGATATGAGATTAGGAACACATAATAGAATTTTGAAAACAAGTCCAGAAATGACACAGGAGTTTAACCTTAACAGTTATTAGTCATCTTCTGTTCTCATGTAAGATGATTTCAAAATTTATGTAGGCGTTAAGCATGGACGTAGGCTTGATTTATTTATACTCAAATATATATGGAGATAAAAGGAACAAAATTCATGAAGTCAGACTGAAACATTCATTATTCAGTTCTGTTAATATAAGGAGAGACTCATGAAGTGGAATGATACTTCAAATTTTAGCAAACCTAAGAAAGAACATTGAACAAAGCTAAAAATCATGAATATGTATATGCACACAGAAAAGCACAATACCTTTAAGTTTTAAAAGGAAAGATTAAAGAACGCTTATTTAAAGAATCTTTGTTTGTGACATGTTATAATAACAATGAAGGAGATAGTAAGTGAGTTTACAAGCAACACCTCTGGACATGGATGGGGAATGGTTGGCCGGACCAGTAGCAAATTTGGCAAGGCATTATGGATAGCCATTACACTTATATCAACCATAGCTGCCATTATTTGGGTGGCAACAATAATAGTTCGCTACGTCAAATATGAAACAATAGATAGAGTTGAGGCTAAAGTAGATGACATCATATTCCCATCTGTAACCGTGTGTCCACTTTATGGGTACTCACAAGAGAAACTAGGAGAAGTATATTCTGACCCAAATCATGATTTTTTGTCTCATATCAACTTCTTAAATTCATTATCTGTTAATTCCGCAGAAATTGGGCAGATTACAAATGAAACTTATTTGTCTTTTCTTAAAACTGTAGTTTCATCAGCAAAATCAAATAGGGGGTTCTATGAGAGCCTTGGAGTGGCGGGAATTTCAGCTATGGGCCATGAGCTCCATAATTTCATACCTGTCTGTCTATATCAAGAAAATGATTGCACAGAGGCAGACTTTAAGAAGTTAGTTCACCATGAATACAAAAATTGTTATACATTTAATGGAGGGGACATCAACTTAACGAAACCAATAATTGCCAGCACGGGAGCCCAGAAAGGCCTCTCCCTGACACTTTACTTGGAAAATTCAGAAGATTCTTATGTGACTTATGATACTAATCGTGTATTAACAGCTGCATCAGGTGCAAGGGTTATTATACATGAAAAGGGAACTTTACCTGATCCTGACAATGAAGGATTTGATGTCGAGCCAGGACATCTGATCAATGTGGCTCTCTCTGCAAACAAGCGGCAACTTATGAGTCCACCATGGGGTGAATGTGCTGAACATAATACACTTCACTCAACTGACTACAAATATACTCGAGATACATGTAAAATCAAATGCATGGAGAAGGTGATCGAACAACAATGTGGATGTAGACAAGATTTGCTCCCAGTTGAGATTAACGAAACAACAAATGCTGGTGTACAAGCCTGTGGTAAATTTAACAGAGAGGAGTGGCTAAAGGCATCAGAGGCCAATAGTACTGTTCTGAAGGAGGATATTGCAAGAGTTAGATGCGCAAAGGAGGACTTTTCATGGACAACACTTTCTGAAGGTATCCCTGACTGTGAATGTGAATATAACTGTACATACGTTAACTACCAGATTGAGACGTCTCAGTCAGTTTGGCCAATGAGAGGCTCTGAATTAGACTTCTATTGTCAATTGAGTTATACTCAAAACGCTTCTGAATCAGCTTTCTTAAAATGGTTTTATAACAGTATCGGTATCTATTGCTCTAACATTATGGAGTATGTGAATGTTTCACAGAAATATGGCAATGAAGTGAGAGCTAATGTTCTCCGTGTCAATGTGTATTTCAAAAATCTTGAGATGAAGTACACAATCCAAGAAGAAGGGTTCCCATTGGTTTCAATGATATCAGAAATCGGGGGAGTTCTTGGCATATTCATTGGCGTTTCAATTATCACAATACTTGAGCTTTTTGTCTTTTGCAGTGGCATTATTTATGCATTAATAGGTAGCAAAAAGGTCTCCAGTGAGATAGATGTGAAAGAAATTACGTCAACATCAAAAAACAATTTTGAGGAATTGTCACATCACAAAAGGTCAAATTAGGTCACCATTAAGTGTGAATTGGCTTACATATGTTGGGTTTTATTTCGAAGTCGTGTCTTCAAATAAAACTGGTTCAATTTTTCATGAATTAATATTGATTTTGTCACTGTTTCCAAATCAACCACTTCATCTTTGCTAGATATCCAATCTTGAGAGATGTTCACTGATCTTTTTGTTGACTTTTTTATCACACCATCGGTGGGATATAGTCGTCATGCTGGTCGTGATCGTGGTCGTGATCGTGGTCGTGGTCGTGATCGTGATCATGATCATCCCGCTTTTTGTCATCGCCGTTTAAGGAAAACTGCTCATCAGATTTTCTCCAAATTCGCAGAGATGATAGAGCATATGAAGTACTAGAGCTGATTAACTTTTGGGTGGCCATCTTGTTTTCTGGCGGCCATTTTGAAGGTTTTTCGAAAAATCTTGTCATCGCCATTTCAGGAAAACCTCTCATTGGATTTCCTTCAAATTTACACAAATGATAGAGGATATCAAGTACTAGAGCTGATTAACTTTTGGGCGGCCATCTTGTTTTCTGGCAGCCATTTTGAAGATTTTTCGAAAAATCTTGTCATCGCCATTTCAGAAAATCCGCTCATTTCCTTCAAATTTACACACATGAGAGAGGATATCAAGTACTAGAGCTGATTAACTTTTGGGCGGCCATCTTGTTTTCTGGTGGCCATTTTGAAGGTTTTTCGAAAAATCTTGTCATCGCCATTTCAGGAAAACCGCTCATCGGATTTCCTTCAAATTTACACAAATGATAGAGGATATCAAGTACTAGAGCTGATTAACTTTTGGGCGGCCATCTTGTTTTCTGGTGGCCATTTTGAAGGTTTTTTGAAAAATCTTGTCATTGCCATTTCAGGAAATAGGCCAAGCAAATGGGCTCATAAAAGGCCCAAACATCCCAAAAATTGCAACAGTTTTTAAATTAGTCTTATATTATGTATTATTATCAGTTGAAAAACATATCAAAAATATAGAAAAATGTATGCAGTGGACAAATATGAAATTTCACTTCCTAGGTACCCCCTACAACCCTACCCCAAAATTGAGTATTGGTAGGAAACAATTTTTTCTTCCCAAATGGAATACTTTAGTCAAGTATTCAAGCTTTATTATGATAGATCACATATTCACAAATAATTAAAATATTATTTTAATCAATTTCGAGACCAGTAATTGGTCATTTGACCCCAAAGTATAACAAAATAGGCCACAAAACAGGCATGTTATCACATATCTATTTAGATATTTTAGGATCAGTTTGTCAGAAAAGCATGAAAAAAATCATGGTATTACATATTCATATGAACTTCATATTTGGTGAGTGTCAGAATTCTAAGGTGTAGTACTTAGGAAGAAAAAAATTATTTCATTTTCATAGTTTTGCCCCGCCTACTATAGGGGAGACTATAGTTTTGATGATTAACTCCCACAATGCATCAAAGTATTAGAGTTGACATCTAAATCATATATATACTAGGCTTGTCATCATCTAAAATACAAGTTTTGTGAAGGTTTATACCTTATTAGTATGAAAAATAGGAATTATTAGTTGCACCAGGTGAAATGTTAAGGTGACCTCACTTTTATTTGGTGAATAATTACATATCACCACTCTGGTATTAGGGTATTTGATAACTGCTCTATACTAGGCTTACATATATGTATCTAAATAATGTAAGTTGTAGTTTTTGTGGAATTTAATATTGTTTAAATTATTAATTACAATCAGCAATTACAAAATTTGCATATATTTAAATTCATCAGATAAATAAATCATTACATAAGAGTACATTACTATGGAACTATCAATTGGATGTTGGAAAACATTGAGTGTACATGTACTGCATTCGGAATCAGATGCAGATATTGTGATTGTGAAAACTGCAATCCAAAGTGTCCAAACCTCAAACACAGTACTCATACAGATCCCATTGTGCTTCTGATTTATCATGCACAAAACACAAACTTCAACATTTTCTTCAAACCTGAACCAAAAGCAGCAACCCAAGAAACAAAATGTTGGAATATAAATGAAATAAGATTGTCTTTGGGAAAAGTGGTCTGTGACAATATTTTGTTTCTTTTCTGGGGTGTGACATCGCATTCAGGTTATATATGGCATAGACAAGATGCTATTATTGAGGCAGATAAAAAGAGTGAGTTCTTTAGAAAACAAGCGGTTGTTTTTAAATTAATAAAAGCACTGGTGATCTGCTCGATTACGCTTGTCGTTTCGGTAACAAAATGTCTAAACGTCGAAAGTACGATATTTCTTTTTCCTTTTTTTCACGCGTTGTAGGCAGAATCCCCACGATGTTTTTTTCTCACGGAATTGTTGATTTAATTCCTTACTTAAGTTAAATAAACGGTTTCAGTTAAAAGTGCAGATCTTAATTGTTTATCGAAATACCATTTATGTAACTTAAGTGAGGAATTAAATCGAAGATTCTGTTGTCTTCTGAACTATTTGTTCGCAAATATGTACATTTTTTAAACATATAATACTGATACATGTTTGTGATAACAATGTTGTGGGAATTCTGCCTACAATGTGTGAAATAAAGAAAAAAGAAAAATCAAACCTTCGATGTTCCGACATTTTGTTACAACGTAAACAAGTAGAAAACCAGTGAAATGCAAGCAACTCTGTCATTGCAGAAGAACATGCTCTTTTGTCAATTTATGGTGGAAAAATGGTGAAACCCTAAATTATCTTAAGCTTCTAAAATTCTATTAAAAGAGAGCAGCAAGATCTGAATTATTGCAGCCCCGTGTTCTTCCTCCATTTTCTGATGCTGCGGAATACCACAGTTACAGAGAGCACCATCAGATCCAGGAGTGGGAGGGAAATAAACTGCCTCCATTATAATTGGGCTGGGAAATAAGCAACGATGTACCAATTGCCTAAATGCAGCTCCCCTTTCTCAGAGATCATCCATTGTGTGTGTAAGGCAGATTGTATTTCTATGAGATGTTCTTGTAGAAAAATGAAATAACTGTTCTTTGACATGTAAGGTATGCAAAGGCCAGAAAAAAATTGGGCCCATAAAAGGCCTTAAGGCCCCGAAAAGTGGGCCTTTTTGGTCATAAATGGGCCTTTTAAAGCCTTATTTTTAATTGAAGAAAATGGGTCTCAATATTTCAAAATTTGGGCCCACTTCAGGGTTTTAGGGGCCCAAAATTTTTTCTGTGGAAGTTTTTTTCTCAGACCTGACATTTGCCCCCCCCCCCTTGTTGGTTCCCATATCCGCCCCTGATGAAGGCTGGTGATAGACAAGGTTGTAACTGATTGTTGTTACAACATAATAGTATTAAGCTTATTTAATCAGCATTCTTTTTTTGCTCTCTATAAGTAAGACACATACATGAAGGTTAAGATTACAAAATTAAGGCAGCATTTTTGATAATGAACATAACATAATCGAACCAGGCCCTGTATAAAGACCAGGGATTTACTTTGCGTTACACTAGTTAACTCAGGAGGATTTATTATCCCATCGAACGAAGTTCGGAGGGATATAGGGAACGCCTCCGTCCATCCGTCCGTCCGTACGTACGTCCGTACGTACATCCGTCCGTCCGTCTGTCCGTCCGTCCGTCCGGGCAATAACTCAAATACCGTTGGCCCGATTTTGTTCATATTTTGTACACATATACCCTATGGGAGTAGAAGTTCTGCTCGAAAGCCGATTTTCAAAATGGCTGCTCATTTCAAAATGGCGGCCATTTTAGTGCCGATTTTACAGTAATTTAGGTGCAATATGTAAAACTGTAATAGCAATATGTTTTAAATGTAAAAAAATTATAAAGGACATTAATAATGCTACAAATGTAGATATTAAAGAAGCACATGGCAGCCATCTTGATAAATGGCGGCCTTTACTCGTCATTTTACGATTTTTGCTGTAACTCAAAAAATAGTGGAGCGATTTTGTTCATATTTGGTATGTGAATATTATAAGCATTGCACACTGTCTAAAGACACTTTTGGTAGAAGGCGGCCATTTTCAAAAAAAAATTGAAAAATGGCCACCATTTTAACGTATTTTACTATAACTCGAAAAGTAGTGGAGCGATTTTGTTCATATTTGTTATGTGAATACTATAAGCATGGCACACTGTCCTATGACACTTTTGGTAGAAGGCGGCCATTTTGAAAAAAATTTTGAAAAATGGCCGCCATTTTAACGTATTTTGCTATAACTAGAAAAGTAGTGGAGCGATTTTGTTCATATTTGGTATGTGAATACTATAAGCATGGCACACTGTCCTATGACACTTTGGGTAGAAGGTGGCCATTTTGAAAAAAAATTGAAAAATGGCCGCCATTTTAACATATTTTACTATAACTAGAAAAGTAGTGGAGCGATTTTGTTCATATTTGGTATGTGAATACTATAAGCATGGCACACTGTCCTATGACACTTTTGGTAGAAGGCGGCCATTTTGAAAAATGGCCGCCATTCTAACGTATTTTACTATAACTCGAAAAGTAGTAGAGCGATTTTGTTCATATTTGGTATGTGAATACAATAAGCATGGCACACTGTCTATTTCTAATGACACTTTTGGTAGAAGGTGGCCATTTTGAAAAATGGCCGCCATTTTAACGTATTTTACTATAACTCAAAAAGTAGTGGAGCGATTTGAATACTATAAGCATGGCACACTGTCCTATGACACTTTTGGTAGAAGGCGGCCATTTTGAAAAATGGCCGCCATTCTAACGTATTTAACTATAACTCGAAAAGTAGTAGAGCGATTTTGTTCATATTTGGTATGTGAATACAATAAGCATGGCACACTGTCTATTTCTAATGACACTTTTGGTAGAAGGTGGCCATTTTGAAAAATGGCCGCCATTTTAACGTATTTTACTATAACTCAAAAAGTAGTGGAGCGATTTTGTTCATATTTGATATGTGAATGCTTTAAGCATGGCACATTGTCTAATTAAACTTTTGAGAGTAGTCGGCCATTTTGAAAAATGGCCACCATTTTTATGTGTGTTATTTTACAAGTACGTGTATGATTTTTCAAAAATTTTAGAGGTGGCTACTTAAAAGCATATTATTTCTTCTGATGACAACTTGGCTAGTGAGCAACCATTTTGAAAATGGTGGCCTTTCTGGTATGTTGTTTTATGATATTTGCTATTCGTTTGTAAAAATGCCAGCCATTTCTGTTCGATGGGATTCGCTACGCTTTGGCGTTGCCGTTGTTCTGGTTAATGTAGAAACCTTTTCCTCATTTTTTATTGAATTTCATCTTGAAATCGAACATTCTTCAGTTGAACTTCTTCATTTCATTTCTCAATATTACTGTGTGGTTAAGAACACCTTAGTCAAAAGTAACAATTTTTCCTTAATACAGGGCGAGCCAAAAATGTAACCCAAACAAATCTTAATAATCCAGTCCAATCATCCTGCATGGATTTAGTGTCATATTTGGAAGAATTGAGTCTTGGTCAATGTATTATCAATCTACCCAGTCTGAGTGGTCTCTAGTGGTCACGATTTTATGGCCATTTTATACCATGCCATGAAATATGGGTGTCATGCCTG